GAGCAGATAAAAGGCCCAGAGTTTATTTCAAGTGTGCTATTTGCATTTGGAATCTGTTGCTGTCAACTCTCAAGATGAGATCCAAAGAGCTGTCACTATCAGTGAAGCAAGCCATCATTAGGCTGAAAAAAACAAAACAAACCCATCAGAGAGATAGCAAAAACATTAGGCGTGGCCAAAACAACTGTTTGGAACATTCTGAAAAAGAAGGAATGCACTGGTGAGCTCAGCAACATCAAAAGACCCGGAAGACCACGGAAAACAACTGTGGTGGATGACCGAAGAATTATTTCCCTGGTGAAGAAAACACCCTTCACAACGGTTGGCCAGATCAAGAACACTCTCCAGGAGGTAGGCGTATGTGTGTCAAAGTCAACAATCAAGAGAAGACTTCACCAGAGTGAATACAGAGGGTTCACCACAAGATGTAAACCATTGGTGAGCCTGAAAAACAGGAAGGCCAGATTAGAGTTTGCCAAACGACATCTAAAAAAGCCTTCACAGTTCTGGAACAGCATCCTATGGACAGATGAGACCAAGATCAACTTGTACCAGAGTGATGGGAAGAGAAGAGTATGGAGAAGGAAAGGAACTGCTCATGATCCTAAGCATACCACCTCATCAGTGAAGCATGGTGGTGGTAGTGTCATGGCATGGGCATGTATGGCTGCCAATGGAACTGGTTCTCTTGTATTTATTGATGATGTGACTTCTGACAAAAGCAGCAGGATGAATTCTGAAGTGTTTCGGGCAATATTATCTGCTCATATTCAGCCAAATGCTTCAGAACTCATTGGACGCCACTTCACAGTGCAGATGGACAATGACCCAAAGCATACTGCAAAAGCAACCAAAGAGTTTTTTAAGGGAAAGAAGTGGAATGTTATGCAATGGCCAAGTCAATCACCTGACCTGAATCCGATTGAGCATGCATTTCACTTGCTGAAGACAAAACTGAAGGGAAAATGCCCCAAGAACAAGCAGGAACTGAAGACAGTTGCAGTAGAGGCCTGGCAGATCATCACCAGGGATGAAACCCAGCGTCTGGTGATGTCTATGCGTTCCAGACTTCAGGCTTTAATTGACCGCAAACGATTTCAACCAAGTATTAAAAAGTGAAAGTTTGATTTATGATTTTTATTCTGTCCCATTACTTTTGGTCCCTAACAAGTGGGAGGCACATATGCAAACTGTTGTAATTCCTACACCATTCACCTGATGTGGATGTAAATACCTTCAAATTAAAGCTGACAGTCTGCAGTTAAAGCACACCTTGTTCGTTTCATTTCAAATCCATTGTGGTGGTGTATAAAGCCAAAAATGTTAGAATTGTGTCGATGTCCCAAAATTTATGGACCTGACTGTATACTATTATACATATTATTGACCTCTGACTCTGAATTACTTACCCCTGACCTCTGAACTCTGCATTACATACTATTCACCTCTGCACTCTTTGTTATGTACTACCAACCTCTGAATGCTGTAAATCATTTGTGTCACTGAAAATCATCTCCAAATACTTTGCAATATTTCTAGGAACCCTTTAACTGCCACATTATCGTACCAAGGGACCCTGTATGCATCATTCTTCCCACTGCTCAGTGGGACCTATAAGAAGGCTTCATAACTACTTGGATTGATTTTCAAAAGGATTGTACAATTATCACTTTGCAAAGTGAATGCTTACTGGACTTAGTAAATACGGTAAAGTTATGTTCACTTAAATATTTCAATCATGTATCAGCAAAAATCCATTATTTTTCTGCAAAAAAAAAAACAGGTGCTCCCCATGTTATAAGCTAAATGAACATTAATCTTGCTAAGTGAACAGTCTCCCCTGCTTTAGTAAATCACTCCCACTGTATCCTCACCATTTCCCATCATATTTATTGCATTTTCATCATCACCAATCTGATCGTTCTGCAGAGCAATACATGCTGTAATATTACATACAATATTTCCAGAAATAATTAATATATAGGATTGATCAAAAGAGTTCAAAATCTAATACAATAGCTCCTTCATATCAAGGTGTGGATATTTCAAATACAGTTAGCACCCAAATATTATTATTACAGGATAGCCAGATGGGGAGATTTACTAAAACATCGCCTGTCTAGTGAAGCTGTTCTGGCTCCAGACGTTTCTACAAGAAATCAAAATATTTTTACTGTTAGCTGATTGAAAGTTTGATGAATTCGGAATGCGAATTTTGTCTATTTGATTATTCGAGAATCTCATCGTGCATCGATAATAAATCCCAAAATGCTCGATTCTAATAACCTTTCCTGTACAGGTGATTAGCTGAGTTTTGGAATCTGACAATTCTCATGTCTATCAACTTGGCAATGTCCAATTGTAAGGCAGTTTATTCGTTTTCATTTTTTAGATATAATAAAAACTATTTTGGTCTTAAAATCGAGCACTTGTATGATTTGCAATATACTGGCTGCAAAAAACAAAATCGTAAACTATAAAATAATGGGCCACAGAACAATATCAATTGGCTGATCAATTACACCCGAAAAAAGGAAAACATTGCTTAAATATATTTAATGGGGAAAAAAAAACAGATCATATTCGTATGTATTTTATATTTTTTTCTATGCAAAAACCTCAGGACTGAAATCTTTTTCTTTTTTATACCTCTTTCGAATTGATGGACATCTGCAGAGCATTGCTCTTTGCTCAGCTTCCATCCTCACCTATTTCTGCAGAACATCTGCCTCTGTGTCGGATTCCTATTGATGTGGCTTCTGAGCAACAGGTACTTACTTATATATTTCATGGTCACCCAGTGCAAACATCTTACTTTATGATTGAGCAATTACTTTACTTACTTTTTCATTCATTTGGGACTGAATTTATTAAGGGATCCTGTTATGTTATTTACTAATATATGACACTTCACCCTACCAGGATAGCGGGGTTTATTCTATTTATTCCCTTGTTTGTTTTCACTGATCATTGTGCTAAATACAATACAAAGGAGTTTACTCCCCTATCCGCAAAAATGTGGTATATTATGTGTTATAAGATGCTGTGCATGGATATAGCCTGTCCAATGGCATTTCTGTAATGGTAGATGTTTTCATAGAGAAATTGAATCTGTGGATCCATATATGTATGTATGTATTTCTCTCTCTCGCTATAAATATACGGCAGAAATAAAAATCATCTGTATAATATAAATACATATATTTAATACATATTCATGGCCCTGGGCAGAGCATTTAAATCTGTGTATGTATGTATGTATATATGTATCTCTCTGTAAAGCTGATCTATATATGTGTGTATGTATGGATCATATATAAATGAATTAAAATTCTATATTTTATGTATAATAGCATACTAAATTCCCTGAGACCCTCTTTCATTCTCATCTGAGGGTGACAACAGCTGCCCACCTACATAATACATATATCTACCTATATATATATATATATATAATATATATATTATATATATATACATATAATACAATTTATATGATTAGAACATGCTATAGAAGGAGGTAGCCCCTATATATATTACAATTATATAATATTTATAATAACAAATAATATACAATCTCTCTGACGATAAGATATTATAGAAAAATGTACTCTGTTCAATGGCAATCCCCATGTATTTCTGTATGCATGAATCTCTCTCTCTCTCTGTGTATATATATATATATATATATATATAATAAATAGAATTCAAATTCTATATATTTTAAGTACAGTAACAATACTTAACCTATATATACACATACATATGTAAAATTCTTTGATTTATGAGATACTATAGAAGGATGTAGCCTGTCCAATGGCATTGCGTATAGACGGATCTCTCTCTCTCTCTCTCTCTCTCTCTCTCTCTCTCTCTCTCTCCCTCTCTCTCTCTCTCCCCTCTCTCTCTCTCTCTCCCTGTATATATATATATATGAAATAATTAAAATTCCTATTTTTTTAAGTACAGTAGCAATACCTAACCTATATATACACATACATATGTACAATTTCTCTGATTACTCCCTTTCTCCCAAATGAATTATGTTTTTTCTTGTACGATACTATAGAGGGATGTAACCTGTCCAGTGGCATTTCCCATTCCATATTCCCATCCCTCTCTCTCCCCCCCCCCCCCCACCTGTATAATATATCCATATATACACATCCATTTTTTAAGTACAATAACATGCTTAAGTAAACGAATTATTTGGGCTCGGTGAATGTAATTAAATGTAATGATCGCTGCTGTACTTCTCCTGTGAGTCGGAGAGGATCCTGTTTCTAGCAGTCACTTGGCCTTATTTATGACCATGAAGCAATCACCTGGTGATTTACTGTAAACTACACGAGGAAATGTCTGGTGAGCTGTGCAGATTGATGTTGTGTATCTGTGTCTGTCATTGTTGAGGTGTAATCACACCATTACCCAGGATCAGATAATTGGCTTGTGGGCCTGTTTTGAATTAAAAGTAAGAGTCTAATCTTGCTGATAATTTGCCATGGTGGGAAATGATATGTTGGAGAGGACTGCAGGGGGATCGGCCCCGCCCCTTCCCCCTCCCCTCCGCTCCGTCCTGTCTTGGAGGTCGAGAGATCATAGGCTGCTTGTCAGAGAGGGGCGGGGCTAGCCAGCACTCCCAGAGAAGTTTGGAAAGTTTCAGGCTGGTGTCATTCCCGCAGCAGACTTCAGCCAGCTCCGGGCATAGTGGAGGAGAGGATCTGTGACTTCTCTCACCATCATCGGGGTCACCATCCAGAGGGGACACCGGCTGTCACCCCCCCCTGAGGAGAATGAGAGGGGGTCTCAGGGAGTCCTGCACGCACCTGGGGGCTTCGGACTGTCCGCTCTAGCTCATCATCGGACTGACAGAGAGTGTTGGATCGGGAGGGGGCTGTGTGACCGAGGAGAGCACCATGCAGCACCCCCTGGATATCGGGGCGCACTACTTCCCCCATGAGACGTTCGCCGACCACAGATCCCACCGGTACCGGAGTTTCATGATAGAAGAGATCCTCACCGACCATCAGGACCCCAAAATCTCCCCCCCTACCGGGGAGCTGCTCAAGTTCGGGGTGCAGGCTCTGCTCTCTGCCAGACCCTACCACAACCACCTCGGTAGGATGCTGTGTGATTGTACACTATCTTCTATCATGGTAGGGGTCAGTGCAGGGATGGGACCAGGACACAACATACACCCATCATACTGAGACCCCTATACACATACAATAAAAAGTGGCGGTCTGTGTGTCTGTGTGTGTATATAATATATACACATTTAAAAAACAAAATAGATAGATAGATAGATAGATAGATAGATAGATAGATAGATAGATAGATAGATAGATAGATAGATAGATAGATAGATAGATAGATAGATAGATAGATAGATAGATAGATACACTCTAGTACCGCTTCTAAAATTGTTTCCATAGTTATTTGCATTGTTATTACATTTTTAAATTAGGTCAAGAGACTGGAAATGACAGGCCAAATTCTTTTCCACTTGTCACCTCTATCTAATGGTGTGAAAATGTCAGCTTTTTTCTGATGATCCTGAAAATATTACTATGCAAATAAATCAACACACCACAGGGCAGTGAATGGACTTTTTTTTTTTAAAAATATGCTTATCTATAAAAAAAAGGTTCTTTCTTTCTTACAGATCGTATTAATAAGGGTTTTGCAGTGTCCCAAAATAAAACAGCCCACTTTTTGCTCCACTTTTTAAATTATTCCCTATTACTATACAGATATATATGACTTCTAGTCTGTATACCAAGTTATGCTACATTCATGTGTGTGATACAACATGGTCTAGACACAATCTAGTAAGCAAAGTGTATGTTCTCTTAGTGAATAAGGTTCTTTCTTTTTCTTTCTTTCTTTCTTTCTTTCTTTCTTTCTTTCGCTTCTTTCCTCTCTTTTCTTTTTTCTTTCTTTCTTTCTTTCTTTCTTTCTTTTTCTTTCTTTCTTTCTTTCTTTCTTTTTTTCTTTCTTTCTTTTTCGCTTCTTTCTCTCCTTTCCTTTCTTTCTTTCTTTCTTTCTTTCTTTCTTTCTTTCTTTCTTTCTTTCTTTCTTTCTTTCTTTCTTTCTCTCTCTATTATTATACTCTCATTGAATTCAGCTTAAAATAACGTTCATATTTTTGAAAATATGGATCCATACTATTTTGTGTTGGTTTTTAAACTTTCCCACTGGCTATTAATTATCCATCTATCTATTTCTCTTTCTTTTTCTGTCTTCCTTTCTTTTCTTTTCTTTTTCTTTCTCTCTTTCTTTCTTTCTTTCTTTCTTTTCTTTCCTCTCTATTATTTCTCTCTCTCTCTCTCTCTCTCTCTCTCTCTCTCTCTCTCTCTCTCTCTCTCTCTATATATATGTCTAAAAAAAGTTGTAGTAATTATTCAATACAAAGGGAAGTCAGGTACTTACTACTTTTTAGATTTAAATAATTTCAAATATTATTATTTAAAATACTTAAAGAAGTTCATATACTATCAGGCCACAAAAACATGCTCAAAATTTTACATATGTCATTTTTTAGCTTTATAAGAAATAGTGTGGAACAACAACTATAATAATAACAATAATAATAATAATAATATTAGTATATCTTGTTATAACATGTTTGTGCTGTATAATTTCATCAATGGCCTAAACCTTTGGTGTATAATTCCTTATGTAAAAGTAACTGGATATTTCATGTTTGTAGCTATCCTTAAATTGCAGGTCCTTAGCCGCATGTTCTAACTGACATGCTTTATAAAAACTATAGAAAATCTGTTAATATCTGTTACATATTGAGATAGTCGAATGTAGCTTTCACATGAGTTCAAATAGTTATTTAGTAATTGTAACCTGCTGTATATGTAACCTTCGCAGACTTCTACCCTTCTACTCTACCAGCACATTTTACACTGGGGTTACACAACTAAAATAATTCTGCTTTATAAATGTGTGCATTATACAGGGCTTCCTGACAACCAGTAAGATCATAATATTATATTATCCTGAGTGCACAATCTGGGATTGTTCTTATGCTGGTTCCAGTTTCCACTTCCATGTATAGAAAATGTCATTTAAGTCTTCAAAGTTATACAAAATATCATCATCATATATTTAGATCCGTTATGTAAATGAACCAACCTTTACCTAGTATTTACCTATGGTAAATGTAGTACATTACATATTTGTATTGGATTTTATTTGTATATTTTTGTTATTATATGTGTATATGTCATCTGTTGATTGCTTTTCTAAAATATAGGTTTCTCGTCGTCCTAGGCTAGTTAGGTCCCAACATATAAATATTCAAGTAATATTAAAAAACAATCTCTCTTTACCTGTTTTTTCATGGAATGGTTTCTAAAATATACATTGATGTCATTTCTAAACTATGTGAGGCTCTATAGTAAATCAGACCAGTCTGTATGAGGTGCAGACAGGCTTTTGTAAAATTTTATATATTTGTAAATGCAATAAATTGGTCATATAGACTTAAACGGGAAAAGAAGATGGATAGTTATCTCAGAAAGATATATGATCCTGTATATATATATATATATATATATATATATATATATATATATATATATATAAATAATTATTATTATTATATAGGATTTATATAGCGCCAACAGTTTTGCTCAGCGCTTCACAATGTAAAGGGAGACAATACAGCAGGGATACAGTTCAATACAAGAGGGTAAGGAGGGCCCTGCTCCTTGGAGCTTACAATCTAAGAGGGAGGAGCAAGTGGTACAAAAGGTAATATGTTCTTGTTTTGTAAATGTTGTACCCTCTCCCAGCACTATTAATCCATATAGCACAAAGACAATTTATACATTCAGAACAACACATCGAATATATAAGTTCTTTGGACTGGTATACTCATGACTGCAGGCCTAGGAGGTCCCAATATGGTTATTACATTTGTTTCATTTATTACAAATAATACATTTGTTTTATTATCTACACCCTGTGATTGGTTCTTTACACACTCTAAAGTGTGGTATGGCGCAAGAAAAGTTTTTCTTAACCCAATAGTTGCAGGATGATAATGTTCTATTCTTTTGATCACAGTAGGTGATTTACAAAAATTGGATCACGAAACTCTAGGAAACGGCACTGACATCTATAACAAAACTTACATATTTTTTTTTTAAAGGGGCAACCTTTGATTGCTATCTACATCTGTTCCAGTTTTTAGTAAATCGGACTATTTTGCTGATATGTTATCCTATAGGGATTCTAGCTAATAACGCTTTGTCTGGTCTCTCCACAGCCCTACTAAAGGCAGAGCAGGCCTCGGTCTTCAAGTTCCCCCTGGGCCCTCTTACTTGCCCCGGCCTAGGCTCCCCCATCAGCTCCGCACTGCTTGCAGCCAGCTCGGGCCTCCAGGGCGGGTCCGGCTCCGCCCACCACCTGCCCCTAGAACTGCACCTGCGGGGTAAGCTGGAGAGCGGGATGTCCGAGCAAGGCAGCAAAGCCAAGAAGGGCAGGAGAAGCCGGACTGTGTTCACAGAGCTGCAACTTATGGGGCTGGAGAAGAGGTTCGAGAAACAGAAATATCTCTCCACCCCTGACAGGTAAGTGGACATTACTGCACATTTTACACAACCACAATAAATACTCACAGATGACACACCATTGCTAGGGGCTGTGACAGGGAGGCTGATTTATGAAAACTAAACAGCAGCAAATCTGGTTTTCAGCTGTCAAATCAAAGTACTGGTGTCACTGGTTGTTATGGGAACAGGATGCTGTCTAAAACAGCCTATGGGACAATATAGTAATCGTAGTCCTGCATGACTTTACAGGTAATTGGAATTAGTATGTGGGAATCAAAGGGAAGTTTTTACTGTAGAATGAATTGAAGATTATATGCAGATATATTTAAAAAATAAAATGCACACATCTAAAAAATAAAATAAAAAATAATTAAATATATATATATAGGCACATTGTTATAAACTAAAAACTACAGTGCGGTTGATTTACTAAAACTGGAGAGTGCAAAATGTGGTGAAGCTCTGCATAGAAACCAATCAACTTCCAGGTTTTATTGCCAAAGATTAATTGTACAAGCTGAAGATAGAAGCTGATTGACTACCATGCACAGCTGCACCAGAGTTTGCACTCTTCAGTTTTATTAAATCAAACCCAATATTTTTTTTTCTTCAGATATCTGCATATTAATCTTTGACTCCACTTTGCTCGCACATACTCATTTATAATACATTTGTAAGAGGGTGGTGGAGTGTTAGTGTTTATTTTTTAATATTCCAATCAATATTATTAAACTAACATAAATAAGTTCTATTCAGAATTTGGTTTATAGCTTCTGGATATTAAAAATGATAGATCCTTGTTATGGGTTTTTTTTTTGTGTATTTAAATTTTTTGCTTGGTCAACCTTGTGATTGATGTAGCCCAGACATCACTGTGGACTAGTCCTACTTATTCTATTGATAATTACTCTACCTTTCTTGTACGATTTATGGGACCTTTTCTGTATTTGTAATAATGTTTGTATTTGTATCGTATAATGGTTATTGTCGGATCGGTGTCCTTTTATGACACAGAGAATAGCTGCGATTCAACGGATGTGGTCATTCATGTAACCTCAGGAGACTGTAGCCCTTCTCTTGAGATCTGTGTTCTCCGTCCAGATTCTAGAGCTGTCAGAGGGACTAAGCAGAGATAATTTACCTCTGCTTAGTAAACTGGTCTTTTACTTTTCTAAGATATTAAAAACCGTTTTTCAGAGTTTTGTAGACGTTATTTTGGGACCTTCTCCCTTCGTTGTAAAATGTTTGTATTTGCATTAGGAGTAACTTTGTTATTAATGTCGGAACTAGCAGCTCTATTATTGGTGGTATGATTGGCATTTTTAAATAAAACTCAATTTAAAAAAAAATTATAGCTGGGTGTTGAAATGATAGAATAGATAGATAGATAGATAGATAGATAGATAGATAGATAGATAGATAGATAGATAGATAGAGTTTTTTCATTTTAAATACTTATTCTTGAGCAAGAAACATTAGCCAGGATTTTTTTTTCTTGCATATGTTTAAAATGAACACCTTATTTACATACACTTTACTTAGGTCATTTGTAGGCCATGTTGTATCACAGACATCAATGTACCATAGCCTGGTATACAGACTGGAAGTCATATTATTAATCTGTATAGCAATAGGGAATAATATAAAAAGGTGAGCAAAAGTGAGATGTTTTATTTTGAGAATTTCAAAAACCCTAATCCGACTTGTGCATAATAATGTACGAAGAAAGAAAGAAAAGAAAGGTAGAAAGAAAAAGAAAAAGAAAGAAAGAAAGAAAGAAAGAAAGAAAGAAAGAAAGAAAAGAAAGCAAGAGAAAAGAAAGGAAGAAAGAAAGAAAGAAAGAAGAAGGAAAGAAAGAAAGAAAAGAAAGGAAGAAGGAAAAAGAAAGAAAATAGATGGATAAATAATAGCCAATGGGAAAGTTTAGACCAACACAAAATAATAAGGATCCCTATTTTCAAAAATATGAACGTTGTTTAAGCTGAGTTCAATGAGAGTATAATAATACGGTCACACATCTAAAATATAACAGTTTTTGTGAATTGATCCTTATGTGACTTGTCCTTTATGGATCTTTTTCGCGCCAGTCAAGCAGAAACAAGTTTTTACTTATAACAATATCACCCATTTATTAAATTAAAATTCCTAATCTGAGCTGTTTACTGCTTGTATTTTATACCTGCTGCTCTGGCTCCGGACATTTGTTTTTTTTTTTAATTATACATCGTACGTTAATGTTTCAGAGGGGTCTGGTGATGAACGGTTGTATTTATTGATAGTTATTTTCAGTTAGATACACATGGACGGTATGTACGTGAATAGTTTGTAAGAATCGAATTTACTGAGCTTTTAAAACGTCTTTATTTTATTGATAACACCATATAACCATGTATGAGAATAATAATATAATAAAAATAATAATATTAAGTATTAATATTATTATTATTATTATTATTATCATCATCATTATTATTATTATTATTATAATCACGTATAATACTACTACTACTAATAATAATAATACCATATAGCCAAATATGCATGATTAATCAGGGGAATTATCCTAGTGTTTGCTATTCTAACTAGAAAATGTGATAACAATATTGCGATTCAAAAACTGGCCTACGTTTGCTACTGCCCTGAATGATTAGAAACTGGCAGATGTTTATTGCTGATTTGTTTGTACTACACACATTAATGCAAGCTCTATACCACCGATAAACGATTGTGTAAAGTGTGAGTGTGTACACACATATATATATATATATATATATATATATATATATATATATATATATATATATATATATATATATATATATATATATATATATATATATATTAAAATTCATGTTCAATCTGGTAACTTTGGGTTGCTAACTGCATTTGGGTAAAGTAAGAGGCATGCAATTATGTGATGAAAATATCTTTGACAGCATCATATTCTCTATAGACATAGGGGCTGATTTACTAAAACTGGAAAGTGCAAAATATGGTGCAGCACTGCAGAGAAAAATAAATAGCTTCCAGTTATTATATCTGTCAAAGTTTAATTGAACAAGTTGAAGATAGAAGCTGATTGGTTTCTGCACAGCCGCACCAGATTTTGCACTCACCAGTTTTAGTAAATCAACCCCATAGAGTCAGATTTATAAAAACTGGAATAAAGAATAGAAGACAGGAGATGTTGCCTACGAATAGGATTCCAGCTTTCAGAAATCTGATTGTTCATGGGCTCCATGAAAACTCTAGTTCCCTTGGCAGAAATAAAAAACGCTGATAGGCTCCATGTACAAAATCGCTGCTTCCACAGAAGTTTTGTGTTTTGCCTGTAGAAGCAGATCAGTGTTATCCTATGTGTCCCTGCACATTAGACGATTAGAGGCATTTTTAGGCTCAAAGTATAGAGGCAGGAAAAAAAAACCTTGCGGTTTTAATTGGAGCTTTCTGGCAGAAAAAAATGCTAAACTCTCCTAAACTTATGTACTAAAACGTTCTATATCAGCGTTTTTTTCTGCCAAGGGAACTGACATTTTTTTTAAGCCCAGTGTGCATGGAGCTCGTTTTTTTCCAGTTCTCATGCATGAATTTGTCTCATGTATGTTTCAGAAATAATATAAGCTTTAATAACTGACAGTCAGATTAATTTAAACTGGAGAGAAAAACATAAGCAAAATATAGGCTTTGCCAAGTGTCCCAAATCAGCCTTCACTTTTTATTTACTGGAATCATGAAATATATTTCAGGGGGGTTATGTGCAACAACTCCGTTTTTATGACTTTTTTTTCTTTTCTCTAAACTCAGCTCCTTGCTGTGAATTTTTTACACATATAGAAAAAAAAGACTTTTTCAGTTATTGTATAAATGGTCTTTTTTCATTTCGAACGTTTTAAAAGCCACAATAAACATTTAAATCCCCTGTAAACTTCTGCTGGTGATTAGGAGGTGTCAGGAGATAGTTCTGGGAAGCCTGGGTTGCATTTGTTGCAAAAGTCAGCTCATTAGCATATGACAGTGTGGATTAAATGTCAGATTTACTGAGCTTCAGTAAGAATAAGAAGAGTCTCTATACTACAGCCAAGATTCATTCTCCAGCGATAAAGGTTTTTAGAGTCAGTTTGAAGTGATTGGAGATGCTTGCACTTAGAGATTATTATATATGATGGGAGTTTAAGAAACTTGGAGGTGTAATCCACTGCCTTTAATCAGATCCCCACTGTCTGTATATACTGGGGCTGCTCAGAAAATGAAAATAAGAATGCCATTAGCTGCTGGGAGTCGTATCCACAGCTTAGTTTATTTTAATTTCTCTGTTACATTTTTTATATAGAATTCCTACTGTCTATCAACCCCCTTATAGGGCTAAATTACATAGACACTCTAGGGTTGCTTTACTAAATGATTGGAAATGATTGGGACAGCACAGTGGCTAAATGGTTAGCACATTCACCTGGCAGTACTAGGGTCGTTGGTTCAAATCCCAGCCACGCCACCCTGCCTGGAGTTTGCATGTTCTCCCTGTGACTGCGTGGGTTTCCTCCCACACTCCAAAGACATGCTGGTAGGTTAATTGGCTCCTTTATAAATTGTCCCTAGTATGTGTATGTATGAATGTGAGTTAGGGACTTTAGATTGTACACCCCTTGAGGCTTAGGGACTGATGTGAATGTACAATATATGTATGTAAAGCACTGCCTAAATTGACAGCACTATATAAGTACCTGAAATAAATAAATACCTGAAATAATTTAGAAACTGTTTAATGGGAAATGTAAATATTCAGCAAAGTGAACATTAAGGACCAGTTCACACTACATGCGTTTCAGTTGCTTTTGTTTCTGCATCCAAAATGCACAGAAAGTAGGTTATATGGTTGTCAATGTCAAAGTTCATATCAGTGCTTGCATTTCCAGTGCATTCCAGTTGCAGAAAAAAAGTAGAACATGCTGCATTTATTCTGCACAGAACTGTACTGGAACGCGGTAAAACACATCAAAAAGGCACCAGAATGCACTGGAACACACCAAACTGCAAACAACCCCCCCCCCCCCGGAATGCACATGCCCCAATTTAAATTGAAGAAAAGGCAAGGGGAAAAATTAACTGTAATGCTTAAAAAACGCACTGGAACGTGGCAAAAACGCATAAAAAACACGCATGCAAAAGCCCTTAGGGCTAGTTTACACTAGATGCAGTTCAGTGAGCTTTTTTTCTGCATAAAAAAAGCATGCACAGTGTTTTCTATGTATTCCAATGGCCCTGGTTTACATTAGTGCTGTCAGTTCCAGTCAGTTTCTGGTGCAGAAAAAAAAGTAGAGCATGCTGCATTTTTTCTGCACAGAACCATACTGGAATATAGCAAACTGCATAAAAACTGCACTGGAACTGCATGTGGTGTGAACTGTAAGCAAAAATATATCCAGAATGCATCCGGAGCAGGGGCGGACTGACAACTCATGGTGCCCCCGGGCAATAAGGGATCATGGGGCCCCTGTGTCCTTGCCCAAACTCAAAAAAGCCTATGGGGCATCTCATGGGGCCCCCTACAGACCCCGGGCCCTCGGGCAGTGCCCGAGTTTCCAAATGGTCAGTCTGTCTCTTATCTGGAGTGCATTTTTGTAGTGTGAACTGGCTCTTAGGGCCAGTTCACACTACGCGTGTTTCAGTGTGCTTTTTTCTGTGTCCAAAAAAACAGAAAATAGGTTATATGGTTGTCAATGTCATAGTTCACATCAGTGATTGCAGTTCCAGTGCATTCCAGTTGCAGAAAAAAAAAAGTAGAACATGCTGCATTTTTTCTGTACAGAACTGCACTGGAACATGGTAAAACGCATCAAAAACACACTAGAATACACTGGAACGCATAAAAAATGCACTGGAATGCACATGTCCCTATTTAAATTGAATAAAAAGAGAGGGGGAAAAATTAACTGGAATGCATTAAAACGCAGTGGAACGCATAAAAAAAGCACTGGAAACATAAAAAAAAATGTGCGTGCGGAAATGCATCCAGAACGCATCTGGACTGCATTTCTATAGTGTGAACCTGCCCTTCCTAAATAAGTTGAAACTATGTTCACTGTGAACACCCAATCATGTTCAAGAGAAAACAACATTTTGGCTAACATATGACTGAATGATTAAAGGGAACACAGCTCTGACCAGGGGTGGACTGACCATTTATAAAGTCGGGCACTGCCCGAGGGCCCCGGGTCAGTAGGGGGCCCCATGAGATGCCCCTGGTACCTTTTTCATAGGCTTTTTTGAGTTTGGGCAAGGACACAGGGGCTCCATGATCCCCTATTGCCCGAGGGCCCCATGAGTTGTCAGTCCGCCCCTGGCTCTGACATATTTTTTATTTATTAATGTATTTATATAGAGATGAAAATGTACGCATTGCTGTACATATATTGTTCATTCACAGTTCCCTGCCCTAAAGGAGCTTGCAATCTAAGGTCCCTATCTCACATGTATCCATTCACCTCCTGGGGCCAATTGAGACAGGAGCCAATTAACCTACCAGCATGTCTTTGGAGGGTGGGAGGAAACCAGAGTACCCATAGGAAATCCATGCAAGCAAAGGGAACATTTACAATTTCCATTTACTAAGATCAGTGAACATTCACCTTGCAAAGTGAATGGTCACTACTGTTTTAATAAATCAACCCCAATATGAGTTATTTTCAAGTTGGGAATTCCAAAAGTTGACCAGATTTTACCACCTTTGTGGTTACAGCATCTTCTGTTTTAGGCCTTGGGACCTAGGCCCTATCTCACATGTATCCATTTACCTCCTGGGGCCAATTGAGACATGAGCCATCTAACCTACTAGCATGTCTTTGGACGGTGGGAGGAAACCAGAGTACCCATAAGAAATCCATGCAAGCACAGGGAGAACATCCAAACTCCATTTTCTAAGATCAGTGAGGTCACTACTGCTTTAGTAAATCAACACCAATATGAGTTATTTTCAAGTTGGGAAATCCAAAAGTCAACCAGATTTTACCACATTTGTGGTTACAGCAACTTCTGTGTTAGGCCTTAGAAGAGGGGAGCTCTGCAAACAAAAACACATAGGGGTTGATCTGCTAAACCTGGAGAGTACAAAATCTAGTGCAGCTGTATATGGCAGCCAATCAGCTTCTAACATCAGCTTGTTCAATTAAGCTTTGACAACAAAACCTGGAAGCTGATTGGTTGCACCAGAATTTGCACTCTCCAGTTTTAGTAAATCAACCCCATAGCTGAACCACTTCAATCAATGGCACAGTTTACACACACACTGTTGCCTATGGTGCACGTTAAAAAAATCATGCCTTCAGTGTTGAAATGCACACGCATGATTCACTGATATCAATGGCACCACATAACAAACTACACAAAAGAAAGAGTAAAAATGAACATTTATAACACACCCAATAAATCAAAGGAATGAGACCAATTGAGTATTGCTTGTAATGATCAGATCATGTAAGGGTTAACCGACAAATGATAACAATCCAAAATAAAAAGTGCTAGTTTCTGAATTTTAGAGATTTTCTGTCATTCTGGAATAGGCCTCATTTTACAGCAATTGTACACATTTCCTCTCCCTCACATGGAATACGCTGTAATGATGGCCAACATGAAGAGGAAAATTGTAGCAGGTCCCAGTCGTGCGGTGATTTAATTCAGCATATTGAGAGATCAGTTCATTCATGTACAAGGACCATAAAATTGTCTGTTCTTGGGCAGAATAGTCCATTATCCTATGTGGTGCTGTACAAACAAAACCTCAGTTCCCAACTATATTATTATTACTTTTTGTTGATACCTCTTTGCTGTTTGACATGTTCACAATGTTCCATCAACTGTCTACTAATCATAAAAGTGCAATTTGTAGTAATTTTTTTTTTTACCCTCAGGATAGACTTGGCAGAATCTTTGGGTCTTAGCCAACTACAGGTGAAAACTTGGTACCAAAACCGGCGCATGAAATGGAAAAAGATTGTAAGTGAAGTTTGTACTTTGTCTTGTTCAGTCTCTGCATCTATGTCACTAAGATATCCCACTGTATCTACCTCCTGTCCTTGGAAATCTTACATTTCATTCTGTATTGCAATTTGATTATATTTTACTTTTCTCATCCCCTTTAGTTTTCTGCCTTCATCCAATCTCTCCTACTTTGTGCTCTCTCTTCCCTTCTCTATCTTGTTCTCCAATTGACTGTCCCACTTACTCTTTGTCTTCTGCCCTATACACCATCTCATCTTCTCTCTCCTCTTGGTTATATTTTACATTTCCCGTCCCCTTTAGTTTACCTCTTTCATCCAATCTCCCCTACTTTGTGCTCTCTCTCCCCTTCTCTATTGCAGTTTCCATTTTACTGTTCCTTTTATTCTCTGTCTTCTGCCCTGTACACTATACCATCTCCATTCCTGCCTCTCCTTTGCCCCCTTTTGATTATATTTTAAGTTTTCCATCCTCTTTAGTTTATCTCTTTCATCTAATCTCCCCTACTTTGTGCTCTCTCTTCCTTTCTCTATCACAGTCTCCATTTTACTGTTCCTTTTAGTCTCTGTCTTCTGCCCTATACACCACCTCATCTCCATTTCTACCTTTCCTTTGCCCCCTTTTGGTTATATTTTATGTTTCCTGTCCTGTTTAGTTTACCTCTTTCATCCAATCTTCCCTACTTTATGCTCTCTCTTCCCTTCTCTATCACAGTCTCCATTTTACTGTACCTTTTAATCTCTGTCTTCTGCCCACCCCACACACACCCCATCTCCATTCTCACAAGCTGCCTCTCCTTTTCCCTCCTTTTCTACATGCTTTTTCTTCCTTTCTCCGATTTAGGGTTACCCTACACATTGCAATCTGACCATACAATGTTTATGCAATCAACTTTAGATTTATCAATGTAATATTTATTTATTTCAGGTACTTATATAGCGCTGTCAATTTACACAGTGCTTTACATATATATTGTACATTCACATCAGTCCCTAACCCTCAAGGGGCGTACAATCTAAAGTCCCTAACTCACATTCATACATACACATACTAGGGCCAATCTAGACAGGATTCAATTAACCTACCAGCATGTCTTTGGAGTGTGGGAGGAAGTCGGAGCACCCAGAGGAAACCCACGCAGGCACAGGGAGATCATGCAAACTCCAGGCAGGTGGTGCTGTGGCTGTGATTTGAACCAATGACCCTAGTACTGCCAGGCTGAACTGCTAACCATTTAGCCACTGTGCTGCCCCATAATATGAGGAGACGCCTAATCTATCCAGTCAATTTGTATCCAATCAGACAGGCCCTTGCACTACATAGTTGTTTGTAGATAAAGAAGATATTGCTTTAGGCTACATTCACACCAGCAATTAGGGTGATTACCATCACCACTGGTAATTGCTGGCTGTGCAGAGAGCTGAGAATAGGTGTAGCCACCAGCGACCTGTCATTATAATGAATGGGGCATGGCAGCTACACCTACCCGCTGACAACTACAGCAAAAACTTCCATTACAATTAGCACCGCCCCCAATGGCCCATGTGAATGTAGCCTTATTCTGCATTCTCCTGTCCCAATCCCTGTCTTCTGCCCTATACACTTCCCATTTTATTCTTACTTTCCTCTATGTTATTTATCATCAAGCTATGGGGCCAATCTAGAAAGCTCCGTAATATCACAGTAAAATTGAATTTATCTGTTCTTATTTGTGCAATAGGCCCCTATTAGGGCAGCAAAAACGGGAGGCTAAGCCTTGGTTTTATCCTCCTCCCCCTTCCTGACTGCCCACCTAAAGCCTACAGTAAAGCCTGTGGCTGTTTGAATGCATCACAGCCCAGTGCCAAATTTATAATGGGGCAAAAGGGACAACTGCCCTGGGCCCCTGACAGAAGGGGCCCCCTCTTTCCAAAAATTTAAAATAATAACAAATAACTAATAATAAAATAATATAATTATGTATAATTAAAAAATCTTTTCTTTTATTAAATGTATCTTGGGAAGTAATATTTTGCTGTCTGTTGTCTGTAAAAGTTTTTATTCTGAATTGGTAGATTGTATCATTTTTTGAACACATTTTGGTGGCTCAAGTGAACAACACATCATTATGACTGCGTGTGTGCGTGCACACATGACTTCAGAGTGATGTTGTGTTATGCATTTTGAAAATGTGTGACTTTCATTGAGAATGTATAAGGGCCCCCCTGAACCCAGAAGTGCCCTGGGCCCCCACGGTCTAAATCTGGTCCTGTCACAGCCCCTGCAAATTTGCCATAGCATGTCAAATTGATAGGTGGCAGACCTTGCCAACTCACCTATTCATTCCAATGAAACCACACTACAGCTATAAGACAAATGATTGGATTGTGATTGTGGCATATCAGTTCCACTGAAAATTACTGTATGTCAAATGAAACAAATACGGGGCCAAAAAAAAAGGGCATTCAGGACAGGGCAGAATCACATCCTGAACACCTGACAGCAGCTTCTGTAATAAGTCACTTTTTAAAAATTATCTTACCCTGAAATTTGTGTTTTCTTTAACATCACAGACTTTATTTTATCTAGTTCTGTGATAAAATGCTATTTTGAGTTTTATTTTAACAGTTTTACATTGTATTTTGGTAGCTGAAGGGGTGGAGTAGATGCCCTGTCATTGACTGGTTTTCTTACACTTTCACCACGTGTGAAAGTTCATGTTTAAAGCTGATCTCTAGGAAAAAGAAAAACACTCCCTTTCAGTGGGGTCCCCCCCAGGGCAGGATCTAGCCTATCTGATCTGGGGGTGCAGTAAAAAACGTCAGGGGGCATAATGGTATAGTGTGACAAAGATACATGGATTCAGTATTCCCTGTTCACTCGGCACGCTTTTGTACCACGGAGTCACAACCTGGAAGTAATATCTGACAGGCAGTGCAGATGCAATGCAGGAGAGAACAGAGAGCGCTAGTATGTATTTGCATGATCAAACAGAACCTATTTCCCTACCTTCTTACATCAAGAGTCTTCTTCAGTGTTCCCCCTTACATCAGGGTTCCTATAAGAGTCCTCCATTACATCAGTGTCCACTCCAGAGTGCTTCTTACATATAAAATGTCCACATTAGAGTGCCCCCTTACATCAATTTCCTCAACAAAGTGCCCCCTTACATCAACTGTCCTCATCAGAGTGTCCCTTTACATCAGTTGTGCCCACCAAGTCTCATGGATCAGTTGTATGCACACTCAGAGATCTAGGGAGCACAAGTAAAATCTGAGGGGTGCATAGCCCACTCCAGCAATCCCCTAGATCCGGGCCTGGTTGCCCTCATCACTACGAGGGTTAAAGGCTCACTGAAGTCTAGAGGATTGGAAAAATTAATTTTACTTGCCTGATCCTCCCTCCAGGCTGTAAGATTGGTCCCTTCAGCCTCTTTTCCCCTATGTTATTGAAGTCGCAGGTCCTCTGACATCATCAAGACCAAAGCATTAATTTTACTTGCCCAATCTTCCCTCCAGGCTGTAAGACTGGTCCTTTCAGCCTCTTTTCCCCTATGTTATTGAAGTTGCAGGTCCTCTGTCATCATCAAGACCAAAGCATTAATTTTACTTGCCCAATCTTCCCTCCAGGCTGTAAGACTGGTCCCTTCAGCCTCTTTTCCCTTATTTTATTGAAGTTGCAGGTCCTCTGACATCATCAAGACCAAAGCAGAGCCCATGGCTCTGCACTAAATGTGGAGATGCCGAAGAACAGTCCACTGCTGGGGCATAGGGGAGAAGTGGAGAGTGCCAGCTGTGGGAGCAAAGTAAAACTTAAAACTTCCTAGCCCCGTAGACATAAACGAACATTTAACCCTTGCAATGTGGGAAAATCCCATGGCAAAGGAGGATTTTTACTCTCCCGGAGATAGGCTTCAAAGATATAAGGGTTCCACATATAACGGATTTCTTTGCCACCTACATACCAATATATGTTTTTCGGAGATAATGGATCATTTATGAAATAGCAATATCAGTTTTTCTAAGCAGAATGGCTATGCAGAATATTAGGTAGATTTAGATGAGTATCTGATAATCATTATGCAGTGTAGGGTGGGCAGGCACATCTGACCACCCAAAATCTGTTTTATTGATTGATTTATTGCAGGTACTTATATAGCGCCATCAATTTATGCAGCGCTTTACATATATATTGTACATTCCCATCAGTCCCTAACCCTCAAGGGGCATACAATCTAAGATCCCTAACTTACATTCATACATACACATACTAGGGACAATTTAGACAGGATTCAATTAAACTACCAGCATGTCTTTGCAGTGATATAAAAGTGGACCTACACCTGAAACAAAAAGTTACATTTTCCCTGGCTTCACCCCCCTTTCATACTTGAATATTTAGGTTTTTGTGCTGAGCGGACTAGAGGTCTTTGGCACATCTGCGCATGTGCCAGACTGACAAAAATGTTGGCACGGCCAAAACTAAAGAGGACTGAAGTTCCTCTTTAAATTTGTGTTGTGGAACAATCCTCTTGCGGTACAACCCCATTGATGGGTGTTCAGATCCATTTCATTTTTTGTCAAGCAAATGTGGTTGATAACCTCTAAATGTAAAAAAATGATCCAAACTGGTACATGAACAAAAATTGTGTTTAAAAATTCTATTGTGCCATGCAATTGCATTAAATTAAATGTAAAAATTAGGAAAAAATGGTTCTATCTTTATTTCCTCAGGGTGCAATAAGCATCAGATATTGCATGAAATATATCATAATACCAACCTGAAGGAGACACCTCGCTAATGAGTAATAAAAGAACCTGTTCACATTGTAAATGGCATTTCAAGCATATTCTACCATGCCATTTGTTAGGCTATGTGCACACAGCCATGACGATTTTACTTTTTATATAGGCATAGTTTTTCTGGCACAAAAGTTTCTGTGTAAATGATCAGGAAAAAGCTTGCATTTAGATGTGTAGTGGCCTCAATCACAGGACTGCAAAAAAAAACACCTTTTATTTATGGAACTGAACGCAGCTGCATTGTTTTCAATGGAAACATTTACACAATTGCGTAAACATAACACAAATTCCAAAACTCTGCAAATGAGGATATACATAAGTACATATACTATTTCAAAAAAGAACAGAACAAATTTTATGCATTAAAATGGATCTATTTACTGATCATTTAAGCAGGAACTTTTTTCCTTGCCTGATGAATAGTAAAAGTTTTACAACTGTGTTACAGCCGTGAATGTAGCCTTCATGTGTAACCTTCTAGTTCTTTATCTGCTCTGTCTTCGCTCACAGAATGCACTCTTTGTATCTATGTATATGTGCATTTACGCAATGTAAAATGCATGTAATCAGACGCAGGTTTTGTATTTTTGGCACTGGATCTGAACGCAGAACATTTGTGTGCTTATCTCCATTGAAAACAATAGACCAGCGTTCAGATCCATAAACCAAAGCTATTCTGAATCACTTTTTTTTTTATAGCCGTGTGCATGTACCCTTAAAATGTAGGTAAAATAATTTGCATGTTCATTGAGTTTTATGAATTTAATTGACTATCCTTACACAGCATCTACATAAATTGTCACATCAATTTCTGAATTGACCCTCATAACTATCCATGTTATTTAACTTCTTCAACCTCTCTATTCCCCCTTGTATATTTCCCTCACTCTCTTTCCATTTCTCTACTCCTTTTAAAAGAAAGGCTTTGGGCCTTTCTTTCCCATACCTCTTAATTTAATTCACTTTTTCCCATTTACCTCTCTATCATAGGTGTCTGTTTATGAACCAGCAGTAAATGTTCGCTGCTCAGTTCTCCGGAATTCTTGGAGAATACAGTCCTCCTGTGAATGCCTTTTATGAAGCGGTGTAGATCAGTTCTCCAAACGAAGAGAGAACGGTCTACAAACACTAGAAAATGGCTGCTTTTACTATAATCTCGTGAGATTACAGTAAAAGATCAGTTTACTAAGCAGAGGTAAATTATCGCTGCTATGGTGTCCATTTATGACACAGAGAATAGCTGCGATTCAACAGATCTCAGCTATTCTCTGGTCATTCACAGTTTATGACACTCAGGAGATCATGTCAGCCCTTTACTGGAGATCTGTGTTCTCCCTCCAGATTCTCCAGCCCAGAGCTGGAGAATCAGAAGGACCGAAAACTAAGCAGAGATAATTTACCTATGTTTAGTAAACTGATCTTTTACTGTAATCTCGCCAGATTATAGTAAAATGAGCTGTTTTCCAGAGTTTGTAGACCGTTCTCCAGCGTTTGGAGACCGTTGTCCCTTCGGTCGGAGAACTGATTCATAAACTGCATTCACAGGAGAACTGTGCTGGAGAAGAGTGCTGGAGAACTGAGCAGCGATCTATTACCGCTGGTTCATAAACGGACACCTTAGTTTGTGGTTCCTCCGATTCTCCAGCTCTGGGCTGGAGAATCTGGAGGGAGAACATAGATCTCCAGTGAAGGGCTGAACATGTTCTCCGCTGATCTCCTGAGTGTCATAAACTGTGAATGACCAGAGAATAGCTGCGATCCTCTGAATTGCAGCTATTCTCTGTGTCATAAACGGACACCATAGTCTTCTTTAACTTTTCTTCTCAAACTCTTCCTTTCTCTTTTTTGTTTTTCTTTTCTTTTTTGGCTACTCACCATTTCTCACTCTGTAGCTCCCTGTAAGTCTCAGTTACCCTACTCTTCACTGGTCCTTGCTTTTTCTTTTCTTTTTCTTTTATTCTCTCTCACTTTCCTCTACCATCTTTCTCTTTAAAAATGTTCTCATGCACTATAAGTGTCCTCATAAACATTGTAGAGCGCTGATGCTCACCTAATAGCTCAAGAGCTGCAGGCATGTCATCTGGGCTTTGTAAAATATGTTGTAGCTATGTCAGTATTTCATGCCTTCACATAAATTTCTGGTATGGTGGAGAGGATAGGAAGAGGAAGCCTATAATTCTGCTCTAGACATTTTGGTTGCAACATTTTATGTTAATATTTGATAATTTATAACTATTTAGAGTTTATTGGTGACATATATACTTTTAACATCCTCTGATTCTTAAAAGCAGAGATTAACAAAGTTCACTTTGCCATTCATACCAATCAGTAATGATACTGGATAGGTGTGTTAGTAGTAGAGAACCTTTGTTGTAATTGACCATACACAAATAACATAATGTTTTCTAGTTCTAAAGAACACACATGAAAAGAGCCGATGTATCTGTGCTGGTTTTAATATACCAGGATGTGCTATATCCCACTAACATGCATATGTTTTTTATTAAGGTTTTGCAAGGTGGGGGACTTGAGTCACCAACTAAACCCAAAGGTCGTCCTAAGAAAAATTCCATCCCAACCAGCGAACAGCTTTCAGAGCAGGAAAGGGCAAAGGAAGCAGAGAAACAAACTGAGGACCTCCATTCACCCTGCGAAATTAATCAGGAGGAGTAAAGGACCCCATTGCGGTGCCAGGGCAAAACAGTCAAATAACAGACTCATAAAGAACTCATAGACACTTACCATCAGGAGCATAAATGTCTAGAGTGGAATATAAGGAGCATATTGACCTACCTAAGAGCAAAGAAACACTTACCAACTGTCCAGTACCAATAAGCTCTAAGCATGATGACTTGCCTCTGACTTTTCAACACCCCAAGAGAGGTTCCTCTGCTTGCACTGTGGGGTTTTAGGGCACCTTGCCCTCTCACTGCAGACTTTGCTCGTTTTAATTATTCTGATTCCAGAATGTGGATTTTTAATATATGGAATAAGGCACTTAAGCTACAAATTCCAACAAGTTTTTGTTTTCCTTTTATTTTTTTAAATTCGTCTGAAGATGCAGTAAAGAACAAGAGTGACTCAATGGTTAGTAGACAATTCTCTAATATTATCTGTTCTTTATATTTAATATGAAATTTGTTTTGTTCATGTGTATATATATTAAGCGACACCAACATTTCTAATTTTGTGTTGTATCTGTTTTAACTTTGCTAAATTTTGTATTTTAAATATTAAAAAGAATAGTTTTACAAGACAGGAGCTGCTTTTCAATTTGATATTGTATCCTTACAAACAAAAGTTTGGCTTCATCATTCTCTTAAACACAATTGTTGACATATGATGTTGATAGGATGATTTTATTATAAGAATATTTTGTATGTCCAGGGAGAGGGTAAATGACTTTAGCTGAAAAAAAAATCTTTATCTTCGCTGTTTATGCATCCAAAATATTCCTACAATAAATCACAGACAAAATAAGCAGAGGTAACTGTTATTGATGCTTAATAAACTACTATTATTTGCAGTTGTCATTGCCTCTGAAAATTAAACAGCTTGAAAAGTTGAGGTTTAATAACCTGGTTCAATGTGACAGTATTTCCATGCTCTTTTATATGTTGTATAAAAAAAACCCCAAAAATGGCATATTTCCAAAACATTGCATTAAAAAACTTGTTTTTTATAATATATATATATTATAAAATAAATATAAATATTGTATATATATATATATATATATATATATATATATATATATATAAAATTTATTTAATAAATAAATGTATGTAAAATATATAAAGGTAATCTTTATTGTTAAAATTTATTTTAAAAAAATTAAAAATAATTAAAAATATTTTAAAAATCAAAAATAAAATAAAAAAAAATAAATATGAAAAATTAATATAATTTTCTCCTTAAGGTAATAAAATCAATAAAAAATAAAATTTTAAAATTAAAATAATTAATAAATTAATAATTAAACATATAAATAATATTTTATTATGCAATAATTATTAAAATAATTAAATTATAAAAATATTAATATTATAAAAATGTCTAAAATTTAATACAAAATTTTTATTTTTAAATAATGATTTTATAAATTTTGTAATTAATATAATGTAAAATTTTAAAAAAATAAATTAATTTTTAAATAATTAATTAAAAACACAAAAAATATAAATATAAATAATATATTTATTTATATAATAAAATAATACAATTTATAATTATTATTATTATAAAATAATTTCTATAAAAAAGTAAAATATATTAAATATTATAACCGAAAAAATTAAAATATTTAATAGTTTATTAATAAATTTATAATATAATTTATTAATAAAATAATGAATAATAAATTATAAAAATATTATAATATTTATTATAAAAAAAAATGCTTTAAAAATTATATTAATATGTTAAAGTTATTATAAATTTATAAAAAAATGGAATAAGAAAAATTTATATGTACTATAAATATAAAAAATTAACCAAATATAGTAAAAAAAAAGATTTATATTTTTTAAAATTCAAATATTGTATATTATAAAAATTATATTAATATTTTTTTTAATTTTTTTATTTATTATTAGAATCAATATATTATTCCTTGGGTTTAAAATATGAATTTTTAAACTTTTTTTTAAAATAAATTAGTAAATGCCTATAAATAATTGTATATATTATTAGTGTATATTTTTTAATGTAGGATAATTTTAATGCTATAAATATATATTAAAAAAAAAAACGATAATTTACTGCAAATTATTATTATATTATATAAAAAATATATTAAAAATTTAAAAATTTATAAAATTATATAATATAATAAAATAAAAAAATTATATATATTATAAGAAAATACATATATTATATTTATATATAATTAAAATAAAATTAAATATAATAATTAAAACCTATAAAAATATAATAGAATATTAAATTGTTAAAAATAAAAAAAAATTTAATAAAAAAAAAATTAAAAAAATTTAAAAAAAAAATAAATAAAATATAAATTTAAATAAAATAAAAATATTTTGAAATTAAATTTTCAAAATAAAAAAGACTAACAAGCAATTAAATAAATATAATTAAAATGATAATAATATAATTATTATTAATTATTATAAATTTTTTTTATTCATTAATTAATTATAATTCATAAAATAAAAAATATAATAAAAAATATTTAATTACTATTTAATATAAAAATTTATTATTATTAAAATTATTAAATTTAAAATATAAATAATTAAAATTAATTTTATTAATTATTTATTTATTATTATTATTATTATTGTTTTTGTTTTTATTATTATTATTATAATAAATATTATAAAATAATAATTATTATTATTAATTATATATATATTAATATTAAAATAATTTTATTTATTTTTTTATTTGTTAAATTTATTTATAATAATAATATTAATATAAATAATAAGTATAGTATTAATATTAGTATTTTATAATAATTAATTTATTAATATTAAAATATATATAATTTATTATTATTATAAAATTATTAAAATTTTTATTTTTAAATATTTAAATAAATTAATATTAAAAAAAATAATAATAATAATTAATAATTTATAATATATTTTTAAAATTTAATAATATTATTTTTAATTTTTTTTAATTATTTATATATTATATTAATAAATAATATTTAAATTTTTTAATAATAATATATTTAATAATAATAATATTATATATATTATTATTAAAATAATAATAATAATAATAATATAATTAAAATTATTATTAAAATTATTATTTTTATTATTTTTTTTTAATTATAGTAATATTATAATTTTATTTTTTTTATTTTAGTAATATATATAAATTTAAATTCATTTTTTTAATTTTTATTTATTTTTTACATGATTATTTTTATTTTTTTTTATATTTAAATTTTTTTATACGGATATAATTTTTATAAATAAATAGAATAAAAAAATTTAAAATTTTAATATATAAAAATTAATTTTTAATATATTTTAATTTTTTGCTATTTAATAATTATATTTTTATCTTAATTATTATATTAAATTAATTTTTTGTTTAATGCAAATTTTAAAAAAAATTTTTTTTAAATTATATTTTAAAAAATAAAAGTAATTTAAAAAATCTTAATTATAATTTACCTTTAAAATATTATATAAATTTTAAAATAATAATCTAATTAAAAAAAAACTTCCATTAAGAATTAATATAAATTAAATATTTTCATATTTATTGTTTATTATAATTCTATATTTATATTTTACATTTTTTTATTCTTTATTACATTTTAATCTTAATTAATAACATTACGTATTTTACTAATTTTTTTTAAATAATATTAAATATATAAAAATAATATAATATAAATAATTTATATAAATTAATTTTAATTTTTTATTTTTTTAAAAATTTTTATAAAAATTTTATTTATGAATTATTAATAATATAAATAAAATTAATATTGTTGTGAAATAAAAAAATATTATTAAGAAATGAAAAAGTATTTTTTTAATCATTTTTTTAATTAATTAAAATTATAAATAATAGAATATAAATTTTTTAATTTTTTTTTATGAATTAATTTTACTGGTTATTTTAAAAATATAAATTATTAATTTTAAAATCCAAAAATTTTACATTAAATTAAAAAAATAATTTAAAATATTATTTTTTTTTTAATTCTTATCAAATGGAATGGAATAAAATAATTTTTTTTTGTTAATTATGCAAAATAAAATTAATAAATAAATAAAAATTAGAAACTTTTTAAATTTAAAATAATTTTAATATAAAAATATAAATCAAATTTAGGTGAATTAATTTATAAATATTTTTTTTATATATAATAAAAATAAATCTTTTTTTATTTTTTAAAAAAAATTTAAATAATAAAAAATCTTTAAAAATTATTTTTAGTATAATATTAATTTTTATTTTTTAAAATTATTACATATTATTATAGATATTAATAGATAATATAAATAGATATATTTTTTAATATATTTATTTTTTTTTATAAAATAAATAAAGATAAAAAATTTATATTAATAAAAATAAATATAATAATATTTAATAAAAAAATAAATTAATAATAAAAAATATAATAAAAAAAATTTATAAATATAAAATTTTATTATGCAATAAATATATTTTTTAATAAAATATAAATTATATTTAATTATTAAAAATATTTAAAATTTAATTTTTTAATTTTAAATAAATAATTATAATTAAATTTTAATAAATTATAATATATTTAATAAAAAAAAAATAAATAATAAATAAATAATATATATTTATATATATAATAATATATTATAATTAATATATAATATTGGTATATAATAAAAATTATTTTAATATAAAATTTATTAATTAAATTTTTACAAATATTTAATTATTAAATTATATAAAATGTATAAATATTTTTATAAATTTAAAATATTTTTATTTTTTAATTTTTTAATAAATATTTTTTTTATGGATATAAATTAAAAATATATATTTTTTTTTTAAAAAAATTTAAAAAAATTATAATATATTAAATTATTAATTTTTTTTGTGTTGTTTATAATTAAAAAATTTTAATTACAATAAAAAATCCATTTTAATAATTTTTAAAATTTTTAAATTAACCTTTTTTTTTTAAAATTATAAAA